GTCTTAACAATGAGCTTCAGACATTTCACGTGGACTTAGTTTCTCTTCCACATAAAGTCTGATCGATATTTGCTGCTCATTCTTGCTGTTTATTTGAATGCACGTGGACACAGTTATTAAAGCGAGTGTTGTATTATAACGCTCCCATCTATAACAGAAGATGAGCTAAATACGTTCTATTAAAGTCAGCTGCTCTATTTTTTTGCTTTCAAGATTTCATTTTGTAAATGAGAAGCACAACTTTAGATTGAAACTAATTAACTGGAGAATATTTGTGAGATGAGTGATATATTAGTATAATCAATCAATCAATACAAGGAGATGAACACATGAGTTTACATGATAAAGGAAGCCAGCATTGAAACATACACACATACATGTTTAAGTACAAACTCTCCTGGAAATTGCTGAGAGGTTTTCTGTGCAGAAAAGTTTCATTATGTGCTGCAGCATCTTTCATGATGTTCTTCTCACCACTGTTTCCAGCTCAGTTTCCAGTTTGGCCAGGATGGAAAAATCGGCTTTAGACCTTCCTCTTTGTGTCAGATGCTAAATATCACATGAGCGTGAGCAGTGTCCATTATGGTTGCGTAATGTGCACACAGTTTCTATGGAAACCTGCTGTACTGTGTGTGTGAAAGAGCAAAGGAGTTATGCTACCAAAGAAATGAAGCCAGTGACCTTACAGATTTCCTGTCTGACCAGCTTTTAGTCTGCCAAACTCTGGGATCTGTTTACTACATCCTGAATCCATCTTGTTAACGAAAGGCTTAATGATTCAAATAAACAAACAAACAACTGTCACACAGCTAACGCAGTCTGAAAGCCAGTCTGAGATGGTAGATGTTGTTTCCTTGCTTTAAAAAGTCAGATGTGACACTTTTACAGTTTACAGATGTTGGATGAGCACAATAGATGAAATGGATTTTTAAAGAGTCAGCATCAAGTCAGGTGTTACTGTGGTAAAAATGAGGTCTTGCAAACCATGACTGCAGATTCTTATCAGCATTTTAGGTGTCGTGTG